CATTGAGTTGGTTCCACCTCATAGAGACCCTGTATAGGATTTCCAAAGAGCAGCTGGTGAATTTGAACCACAGACCTTGCAGTTCAAATTGACCTTGTGGTCTAGTGCTTATCCTACCGTGCTGCACCAGGCCTCTCAGACACCCCATACAAGGTCACTATGAGTTGGAACCAACTTGACAGCACTTAACAACCACAACAACAAACACAGTAGCAGCTTTGCTAAATATTAAAGTCATTTGGAACTGAGGTCAGGAAGGAACTATGTTTATTTGGCATTGTTTGGTGTCAACCTTTACCTTATTCCATCTCAGCCAGCCTCAGAGCCATAACCCTTACTTCACACAGTGTAACGTTACTACCCCAGCTTGACTTGCTTTTGATTTCTTGTTGTTTTTAGGTGCCATCGAGTCAGTACCAACTCATAGTGACCTTATGTACAGCAGAACGAAACAGTGCCCGATCCTGGGCCAACCTCACTATTGTTGCCCTGTTCGAGCCCACTGATGCTGCCACTTGGCCAAACCATCTCGCTGGGGATCTTCCTCTTTTTCTCTGATTTATGGTGGTGGTGGTGGCTGTGTGTCATGGAGTCGGTTCCGACTCATAGCAACCTTGTACAGGGTTTTCAAGGGTGTAAATCTTTACGGGAGCAGAAAGCCTCATCTTTCTCCCGTGGAACATCTGGTAGTTTCGAACTACTGACCTTAAGGTTCGCAGACTGATTCGTTACCACTATGCTCTGATTTGTATGTATGTTGTATGACTCAATGTTTAGGGTCCAACTGTATGGGAATTTGCATTTGTATGAAAGGGGCTGAGACCTAGCTTCCAGATTTTATTCTTTTATTTTTACCACAGAAGCAGAGACTACCCTAATAAATCTTCCTTTCCTAGCACATTGAAAAACACGTTTTTGAGCCCCACTGACTCCATTAGGTTTGAACTTTAGTATTAAGTACGTAAGGAGAAAAAGAGTAGGTGTGGCGTGGACGGAAAGCGAGCAGAGAGAAGCACAGGTTCTAGAATGAAAAGAGGAGCGGCAGGGACTCCCTCAAGGAATGAAAACGCAAAAGGAGACTGGGGAAAACTCGAGGCGTATGACGAGACACAGGACATTTAACATGTCACACAGAAAGCCACATCAAACCTGAGTGCTGGGTCTCGGTCACAACCGCACACAAGCCCCCTTTCATTTCCGTTTCGGTTTTAGGACTCCTTGCTTCAGTTTCTGTTTTAGCACTCATCTAATAATAATTTTACTAGAAAAGGCAAATGTCTTGTAAACTAATGGGAAACATATTGTTTGGCACAGTTTATAATGTCAGGATTGATGGCCTTAACACTGAGGGTCTCTCTGACCTCGAAGATGACATAATGAAGCTGCAATGTGCTGAAAGTGATCCAGTTTGATTTTTTATTAGTTCTCATAATTGCCCCTTGTTAATTTGTATGCACATAATAAGCACTCACCTTCACAGTCTGTCCCGCTTCAGGGCCATCCTAGAAAAAGGCAGAAAAAAAAAAAAAATACAGAGGTGAGGACAGATAGATAGTATCTCCTGCTTATTCAGAAATATCGGCCATTAATAATTTAGATCCAATTTCATTGTATGTTAATTTATAGTATTCTCATGAGGACCATTTGCTTCAAATGTGTGGGACCAGACACTTCTCCATTTCCGCCAGAGACTAACTGAGAAGTTATGTATAAAAATGATATAAATTATCCAGTGAACCATCCCCCTTGCTACTTTTCATGCTCTTTGCTCTTGGCTATGGATTTAATTGCATTAAAGGAAGACTTAAACCATTGGGGGAGGTGAAGTATCACACCTTTTGGTTATCTTTAAATCAGGTGTAGTTTAATTAACCTCTGATCACTTTAAGTGTCTATGTAGGAATTCTTCAATAAACATAATTCATGGGGTATTACATGGGAAGAGCATGTAAGAGAGGTCTTCTCTGGCTCCTCTGACCTTAGGGGAGAGAGAGGAAGCATTCCTTTGTAGCTAGGCATTTTCCCCAGTCTGGGTCTCTCAGCTTTTTGAAGTCCAACAAAATTATTTCCTTATCTGAAAACAAGTAAATTCACCCAATCACCACCCAACATGCAAAGCCAAAGCATTTGTTTAGCTGGTTTCAGATTAATGGAATAAACCAAATCAGAAATCCCAAAACTGATGAAGGACTACCACTTTTGGAAAAAGGCCCTCTGGTAGCGTAGTGATTA